ACACATAATACGAAAGTGAACAATTTATTTGAAAATTACTATGTATGCATTACTGTTCAAGTATACATAAATAATCTGATCCAATGAGAAAATATGTTCTGAGCCAGGGGGTCAGAGACCAGATACTACCTGTATTTCATTACAGTAAGTAGTTTTAAGACTTTTTGGGAAACATTTCTCTTAAGCTATAATACACTGAAGCACTGACTTACTAAATACTACTTACCTGGTAGAAGAGACAATAATTGGATGAAGTTTCTTTTCCTTTAAAGAATTATGTTTTCACAAATGCAGGGACATAAGATATATTTTCCCAAAGCAAAAGATCAAAAGACCATTTTTCATTCTATGATGTTTAGTAAGCTTAATTCTGAAAGGAAAACTGTCCACATACTTTTCCAAGACTAACTTAAAGATGAACTGCTGGTTGTAAATACCTATACAGTTAAATCATAAGTGCTCCAATGACATAATAGCAAGTAGACTTCTGAATCTTTTTATTTTCAAAATTAACTGTAAAAATTGCTAGTCCTTAAACCAATAATATAGCTGTTAGGAAAAGTGTTGTATTATGCCTAAGAATGTCTTGGTTTATGAATGCTTTTGTTTGCAAACCAAATTATTTGGCAGTTTGGTTTTTGTGTTTGGCCAGATTTTGTTTTGTTTGCAAACTCTGCATCGGACAGCAAACACAGCTACAGCTGTCTTTCCCACAACAAACACAACCACGGCCATCTTTTCCAAAATCATAGTACAAATTCAGTTTTGAACCAAACTAGAACCACTGTAGTTGGTTGCTTCTAGTTTTAGTTTTCTAAGGAATCTCTATACTGATTTCGTAGTAGTTGTATGTTCCCACCAAGAACATAGATCGGGTCTCTTCTCCCCACACCTTGCCAGCACTTATTATTATTTGATTTCTTGATTATAACCATTCTTTTTGAGGTAAGATGGAATGTCAGTGCTGTTTTAGTTTGCCTTTCTCTCGTGGTTGGTGATGCTGAGCATTTCTTTATGTATTCATTAGCCATCTGTACATCTGTGAAGTGTCTATTAATTCCACTTGCCCATTTTCAATTGGGTCTTATTTTGAGAGGCATGGTGTTCTTTTGAGTTCTTTCTATTTTCTAGATAGACAGTCTTGTGTCTGAGAAATAGCCAGCAAAATTTTTCCCATTCTGTAGGTTTTCTAATATGCACTAATAGAAAGTATAAAAAATAATAACTTGTATCTGTGGTTTTTTTTTAATTTAAGAATCTGAATCCCATTCCCAGACTACTGAAGGAGATAAAATGTTGGCTTGACTTCCCTTTGTCTCCTTCCAGAACTGTGATGGAGTTGAACCAAGTGATTAAATGCATACCACATACTACTCTAAAGTAAATATTTCTGTCTGCAGCAGACAGAGGACTTGCACTCAGAGAACTTAGATTGCTTAAGGCGGTTTATACTGCCCCACAAGCTTTCTCATTTCATTATGCCACAAGAATGAATGAACAAGTGGGGAAGAAAGTTCTGTCCATATTCTAAGTTAGGACCCCTACTTTTCAAAAAGTGTTTACTAGCCAAGTAAAAGAAAAATTAATAAAATATAAAGCCCAAATGTTACTCTGCCAGTACTGATTATATTGAATAGGACACAGTTTCCTGTCTGGCTTAAGATTCTTTTTTTTCTAGTTTTTAGTTTTTCTGCCCCTATAAGTTTACAAGACTGGCTCCGAATTGGCAGAAAGGCTGCTTGTGCTTGAAGGACAGCACAAAGAGAGGTCAACAGAAATCGCTGTGGGCAAATCAGGAGAGAAGAGAAAACCAGAAGAACAGACAGGCACACAAAGCAGATGATACATTTGATAGTTACCTTCCTGTGACTGAACATATTTTAACGATGTGTCAAGCCTGCACAGAGGTACTCAGTGGCATTTGTAGAAATATATACTTTGGTTTTAGTGTAGTAGGTTCAAATTATGAGTTAGCAAACAGCAAAAACTGCAATGGCAAAACCAAAGATGGGTTGGTTAAGGCTCCAGATCATTCTGAATTGTTTTCAGTTGCCCTGAATTACTTAATTTGGGGAGGTTAAATTTAGATGTGCCAACATAGCTTCGTACATAGTTATATATGCCTAGTAAAACAACCAGGAGGCGACACTGTGATACTAAAGAGAAACAGATTCTATAGGAATCATATTTCTAGAAAATATTTTTAAAGTGTTCCAACAGAAACATAATTTATAGATTAAATTGGCGGCTATGGAAAAGAAATTACAATTTAAAAAAATTTTTCCCTGTGCGATAAATAGCCAACACAATTTTAGATTGCAATCATAGAACTGTTTTATTTCCTTATTTGATACAGATTGCTCTATAGTTAAAAAAAAAATCAAAATCAAATAAAAAACCAAAAGTCAAGTTTTTGTACTCATAGAATTGTGAAATCGCTGCCCTTCCTTGAGGCCTATCTGGGAATAACTGTGTGATACAGAGGAAAACGGTGCCAAGGAAAAGTTAGGAGGCTATTTTTAAAACTGTGGCAATGTGGGGCAGGGGAACCAAACCAGCACTTACACTGGCCAGTGCTACTGACAGACGTAGTTGTCTTCTCCCCCTGGACCCAGCGGGACGGCAGCTACTTTGACTGCCAGGCGCCATTGCCTTCACTTTTCACTTCCTGGATATTTGGAAGTTGAAAGGCAATCCTCCTTTTCATTGTAAAACTGACCTAAAGACATCAAGGGAGAGAAGTGATGCATTCCATCTGTTCTGCAGCTGGAGAAAATCGAAATTGAAGTTGAAATACACAGATAATCCACATTGTGTCCACTGTATGGTAGGGGCAGCAGCAAGGAGGCAGGAAAGCAGAGCACCACCAGACCAGGAATGTCGTTGGGGTTACTCTGCGGGGCGCCAGGAGCACAGCTCATAGGACAGCGTCAGCATAATCATTCTGATGACTTAAGGGGCGACATGCCTTGTGGAGTGAGAGAGACTCAATATTTCTTATCTTTCTATCCACAGTTATTCTGATGAATAGCTTTGAGATAATACCACTTATAAATGTTTCAGAACTTTGGATTGGCCACTCTTAATGGAGCCAATCAAAACACAAGTATGAGATTTGCAAACATTGTTTTCAGCTCTTGTTAAAATTCCAGAGCTTTCCTGTTGTGTTTTTATTTTTCCTCATTTGTATCCAAAAGCCTAGCACTTTCAATTTCCCTACCACTCCCAGGCACTGGGGACTAGGAGCGGTATTAACAGGCCTGCCCTCCTGGCACATACTCTGCACATCCTAAGACTTCCTTCTCATCAAAACAGTTCTTTCCTAATGTTAGCTGCTCAGGAGGCTGAAGCAAAAGATCTCAATTTCAAAGCCAGGCTAGAAAACTTAGTGAAACTTCCATTTAAAATAAAAAGAGTTGTAGACCAGTGGTAGAACACATTTCTAATATGTGCGAGGACTTGGGTTGGATCAACAGTAATGAAAACAAAAGCCAAACAGAACTTGTTGGGCTGAGTCCGCAGAGCTTTGCTAGCTAAGTAGCTTACTACAAATGGCGAAGGGCAGTGGAGGCTAAATATTACCCTGGCCTTCCCCCAAATCTCTGCAACTTCCTTTCACCATCACAAGCCAAAGGGGCAAGTAACTGAGAAAGAAGTGTTACAGTGATGGTAAGGTTGTTTTGAAATGTATTTTGACACCAGAATCTAGTTTTCCAAAGGAAACCATCACAGAAATCAGAGGTTAATGCAAATACCCTCTCTTTTAGTGAATGGGAAAATTGACATACAGTCAGCCCTTCATGATCATGGTTTCTAAATCCATGGATTCAGCTGACTGTGGATTGAAGTACTTTTAAAACTTGCATATGCACTATGAATGTATATAGGCTTTTGTTCTTGTTGTTATTTTCTAAATAATACAGCCACCATATACTGTACAATGTTTACACTGTATTAGATATAAGTAATCCAGAGATGATTTACAGTATGAGGGAGAAAGTGAAGAGGTTGTATGCCATTTTATAGAAGAGATTTGATATCTATGAATTTTAGTGCCCACAAAGATCCTAGAATAAAATCTCCTATGATAGCTGGAAGACGTCTGTGTTGTGTAATTGTAAAGAGACAAATTTGGTTTGCTTATTCCATGTCAGTGCATGTCATGATGGCTTCTTGGTGCAGGATAATGGGCCAAAGAAAGTGTAAGGCAAGAAGTTATGGAGAAAAGACACAGAAAATGGCTCTCCCATACATCATTTCTCGTATCAGGTGAAGGATACATCTTGGGTCGCCTCATCTTCTAAAGCACCAGTTTGCTTTCAGCCATCTAGTGGCAATTAATATTTCTTAATCCTCAAGTACTCAAGTACGTGAAGCCATGAATACAGAGGACACCGTAAAGTCTATCCTGTGGTTAGCTGTTCAAGAAACTTAAGCTATGGTTGCTTTTGCCCTTTTAACCTTCATCACCTACTCAATGTTTTTCAAATAACTTAACTGAAAAACTTGTCTTTTATTTTTCTCTTCAAATGATAGACAGAAAAGTACTTGATGAGTAACAGGATCTATAATAACTGTCCTATTTCCTTCATATTTAGAGCCATCTGTGAATCATATTTAAGCTGGTTTCTTGAAACAATTTCTAGCACAATCTCCTTGCAGTCAAATGAAGTGGCAATTTTCTTAAAATATGGAACAGTTTGGTGCTGGGCAGAATATGTATTCAGGCTCATAAACATAAACATTTTTAATGTAGCATTTAAACATGAACTATGCTACTCCAAAATGCTACAAAAATATAAACAAAATAAGTTCAGGAATAATGAGATCTAGCTAAAGAAAATCTGTGAGGAAGTAGAAAATAGGAGCTAAATTTCCTATAAGAAAGTTGAATGGATAAAGATTTGCTTTTATGAAATTTTTTAGAGAAGACAGCGATATATTCTAGAAATTGTTCATATTTTTGCCGAGTGACTTTAGTAGTTACTAATTATTCTGACCTTGTTCTAGCAGCCCCAGCCCACGGCCAGCACTGAACTTTTCTTCAAGGGTGACAACAGTGTAATGATGCTCTGTGAGGATGTGCTGGTGGAGCTGCAGTTCTGTCTCGCTGTAGGAAGGAGGCCGGTAAAGGACAGCCCGTCTGCCGTCACCACCAAAGTGTGTCTCCATCAGCTCTTCTATCTAAGAAAGGAAAGAAGGCATAAAAATTCCGAATGAAAAATTAGTACATTTCCCTTGAAGGACATCATTAACACAAATCATGGCTATTCAGAAAGTCCTTCCTCACAGTTTTCTGCAGAAATGAAGACAGATTTTCTGAAAGGCTTTAAAGGACAAAAACAACTGCCTATGTAGGAAGTGAAGGAGGATATAATTATTTTCACTATTACATAAGGATAATAATTTTAAGCCATTAAAATACAGAGCTCCTTCAGGGAGAACCGCTGCATAGAAACACAGAGCTCAACTCTAGGTGCAAGTATAATTAGTTACAAGGACTGTCATCCACATTTTTATAAAGGGGTTCTACTTGCATCACCATTTAATACTTATTTTAGAAAAAACACAGTAGAGGAAACAAAGAAGGGACAGACATGGAAGGACATGGTCAAGAAGAAGAGGGCTGAGAGGAAGCTGGGAGCTGAGTGGAGGGAGGCAATGCTGTGGCTCAGTGAGGACAGGGAAAATTTGAAAAAGTCTCTGAAGCAGAACAGGCACAAATGCGAGAAAGGGAGCGAGTCCTCGAGGCTCCACAACTCTGTGTCTCTCTGGACAGAGTTCACTGCTGTCCCAGGTATAAATATTCCTCTTTTTCACAGTGGTGCTTGAAATTCTATTAACAAAGGGAATTTCTGAATGGAATAATAGAAAAAAAGGTGAAATTTAAACTTATCAGGCCTCAGAACAGGTACTGGGTGTTATTTAAAAAACCTGAGGTTAAAACTTGGCAAAATAAATGTCTTTTATTACTGGAAGCAGTGATGAGATTGGACTGAGGTCAGCAAGAAACAGGACAGACCAAAGGAGTGGAGACAGAGGAGAGGGTGGAGAAAAATGAGAGGAAAACAGTAAAAACCAAACTACTTCTAGTAGCAGCTCCTAATCAAGCTGCCCATTTAATGGGTCTACACTGGGCGTGGTGTGACATGCCTGTAATATCAGCTGCTTGGAAGGCTCAGGAATGTGTATCACAAGCTCAAGACCAGCCTGGACGACTTAACAAGATGGTCTCAAAATAAAAATAAACGTTTTAAAGGACAAAAGATCCAGTCTAATGGTAAAGCACTTGCCTAGCCTGTGCAAGGCCCTGGGTTTAATCCTAATTACTCCAAGCCAAACAAACAAAGACCTAATATACATTATGTTATGTTTGCTCATTACTTCAACATCTTCATAATTTCCCATGACTGATAGAATCGAAGCTGGCTGTTTATGAAGAAAGATACAAGAGCATTAAACTTAAGCCCTGTCTTCTCTCTCTGGCCACCTCACAATCACTTCCAATCTTCATGTTTCACCTGCCCTTTATTCATCACTGCGCCCTCTATTTACAATCTTTTCTTGTTCTATTCATTCATCAAACTCCAAACCACCTCTCAAACATGATCCCTTTTGGAAAATTTTAATTGAAGCACAGACTGCATTATGCATTTATGCAAAGATATTGCATCTCCTTACTCCAGCTCCCTCACAGCCAGGCCCGCGTGGCTGGTGGACCTCTAATGATTATTCCAGAACACAGCACATGACAAGTGCTTAATAAACACAGGCAGTTTAGTAATTTATGAGCCCTAGAGCTCTACCAAAATCTTGGAAGAAAAACAAATGTAGATTATAAACCCTGTATAGAAGGGAACCACATCTTGGTTTTCATTACAAACAAACTATTGTTACGTGGAAAAAAAAAAAAAAAAAAAAAAAAAAAAAAAAGAAAAAACAAGCTTAATGAAGTGCAAAAAGTAGCACC